TATGCATGTATATATATATATATATATATATATATATATATATATACTACTAAATTAAAAAAATAAGTTAAATTTCAATGCTGTAGTTGTAGTTCATACAACCGTCATTGAACAGCCGAACCAATTTATTGGGTTTACGGCTACTAATGTTCAACTCCGTAGCCTTGTAATTTTGAATCCAATCCAGAAGATGGAACTAACCGGCATTTGCGTTTCATGGAGAGGAAGACCACGAGAATTCTCACGGTTAGCCTCACGGCAAGTGGACTCAAACCCATGATCCGTCTACTACTGAGGATATTTCACGTCAGCTCTGTGGTGTCCCGCAGTGGACTGATCGTTAAGACACGGTTCCCAGCAGATCACCGAAGTCAAGCATCACTGGCTACGGTCAGTGTGCGGGTGGGTGACCACTTGGATCAGTCTGCGTAGGGACCGAGGGTGTGCGGTATTGGTCCTCGTTAAACTGTGCTACCGTAAAGTGCTCGACTTCGCGCGCAGGTCGTCGGGCTACCGAAGCGGGGGTGCCATCCCCTCCGCAGAGGATCAAAATTGTGATGGCATGTCTTCGGATCATCCTCCGGGATGTTTCCCAGACCGTCGCCAATAGCCCATTGTGCAGCTCTAGTGCGACGTAAATTAACAACAACAACAACAACAGCTCTGTGGTCGATGCAAGCAGGATGCGGAATTCGTATCGACCAGCCATCGCCGGGATCGAACCCCGGTTTACCTCATTGGAAGGCGAACACTCTCTCCCCTGAGTCATTGCTGCTCAGCCAGTGATGTTTTATTTTATTTTATAACCGTCGTTGAACAGCCGATCCAATTTCATGGGTTTATGACTACTAACGTTCAACTCCGTAGCCTTGTAATTTTGAACCAATCCAGAAGACTAGGAAACTCCTGGATCTGTACCCCCAGAGGTATTGATTTGTTGTGGGAACATGGAGGACTTTGAGACTCGACAGATTTAACGTGCATCAGTCACCATTTACTACACGGGGAGTCTTCGGCCGGCGAGGATCGAACCAACGACCTCTTGGATATGGGCCCAGCGCCCTACCGACCAGGCTATCCCGGCCCTGCCAGTGATGTTTGACTTCAATGATCTGCTGGGAACCGTGTCTTAACGATCAGTCCTCTGAGGGACTTAAATTTCGATGAGCTGCGTTCATAATTTGGCCAAATTCAATATTTCGTTTTAGCTCAGATTACAGGTCGCGCGATTTTTCTAGATGATAAGCAATTAATAATGGTTGGAGTTAAAGCTTTTTTTTTCCCCATCATACTAGCCGTGCATTTTTCCATACATATCTTTGCGTTTTCACGAGTCTATGATTTGAAGCATAGATATGGAGAGATTCTGAACTCTGCGCGGCAAAACAAAACAAGAATCCAAAACTAAAGCTGATGCGTTTTCAGAAATGAAAGAAAATATTTTTTAAAAAGATAAAGAAACTGCAGACTTTACAGAATCTCTCATTTTATAACAGGAAAGGAAAATTTTGTTTTTATAAAAGTATTTCTGTGAGATAAGTAGCATGAAATTCTCTAAGTAGCGCATTTTTAAGATTTGTAGCTTTTGAAAAATAATGAGTAGCCCAAAAAGTAGCGGGTAGCCCAAATTCGATTTTGTGTAGCGGGGAGTTTTAAAAGTAGCCCAATCCGCTACTTGTAGCCCAATCTGGCAACACTGCTTAAAACACATGTCACTGGTCGTTAGACGTGCGTGCAACTATTTGTATTAACCAAGCAGCCTTGAAGTAGACGTTCATCTTCCCCTGCTCACCAATCGCGTTTGAAACACAAATACTAATTAGCACTCAGTTGGTATTTGTGTTTTCCATGTTTAATTGATTGACTGCATCTTTAGTTAGACATTCGCAGAACAAACTAAATTTAACCCCCTCTCGTAATAGCGAAACTCATTCCATATAAGAAACAAATTCATTTAAATGGTTCACATGTTAGTGATAAAACTTGGTGATAGGCGCTTGAAAAAATCACAAGAAGATAGGTAGTTTGGATGCCCTTTGGCTAGAAACAGGTCATGACTGTCTTGCTGGTTACATACAGTGAGCTAAATAACTTTTGATTTAATTATAGGATATTCAGGTTCTGGGACTCGATCCTAGTGGTTTCAGAGAGTGATCTCAACTATGGTAACTAATTAGTACAGACGATATTTTAGGTTACAAAATAAATACGTCTTTTAAAAATTCGATTTCTCAGTAACGATTGATTTCGCATGAATTTTGATATTTTGCTATTTAAAATGATGCAAAAAAATTTTATACTTTACAAATCAAATTTTTTGAGCTCTTGTTAAATAAAATAATCACTATAAGTTATATTTTACATGAAATTATCTTTGAATAAAAGACTTTTATAATTATGCTCAAAAATTCCTCAACTTAGTTAAAAAGTTCTGGCGGTATTACGCAAAAAGAAAAATTAACATTAAAGAGTCGAAACTGTGAACTGATCAAACTATTGGTACCATATTTTCCAGATTGCGTCTGCGTATTATATTTTGGGTCTGAAACCGTCGAAAAAGGGATTATTCAGAGAAAGTGTCTGATTTCGTCTGCAGAGAACCTCTTTATTATATCGAAAGTTATTGAAGGTGTTTTTTTATCTTGCGCTTCGGAAGTGGTTAACAACTTTGATGTAATAGTTTGAGGAAATCTATGCCTTTTTTGTTATTTGCTTATCATTTAGTTTTATCATGTCCCATTCATGAAGCAAATTTTATTCGTGAATGTTTATTTGAAAGAAAATTTTAAAAATTTACTTTAAATGTAGGAACAACTCAAAGGAAAATGAAAATTCTTAAAATTTCCTTGCTTGTACCAAATATAAAAGTTCTATTCTTATTAAACGTATAAAAAAGATCCACGTGTTTTCATAATTGCTTTCTAAATTAAGTACGAATGTAAATAAAAATAATTGCTTCAAGTTTAAAATATTAAGTTATAAAAATAATTACTAACTAAGTTGAGAATAATTAAACTAAGTTGTAATAATAATTACTTAATACTTATAATGCCTATATCCTATTTAATAATTTTCTTACTTATTTCATTAAAAGATAAATATGAATAAAAACTGTGCGCTGAAATTTTACCTACTTTTATTCAAAAAGACAATAATAATAATAAAATAAAATAAATAAATAAAATATATTGTGAAAAATTATGAGTAGAATTGGATAATACAGAGAGATTAAATGTTAACTCTTCTTCTTAGGGTATCAAAGAAGGAGAAAGAAAATCTTGGACAAGAGCTGTGTTACCAGAAAATCTAAAAAAAAATCGTTATAATTCGTTAGATGTTCTTCCTTGTAAGTATTATCAAAAATATTATAAACATTTTAATCGACCTCTGTTAGGGCGAAACATGGAAAGCTTATTAAAACATGCGTTTATTAATAACGTTTCTTTTCAGCAACAAATGCTCAAAATTATGACCATCAACTATGGTTGATAGAGATTAACAATTGATTTTGTAACTAAACACAACGCGTGTCATTTTTCGCGTTTTTCATAGATTGGAGAGAAACTTCGCAAAACCCTACTCTGGACAATTTTAAAATTGCTTGCCGTAACTCGCTTTATATATGTACATATATTATGAAATAATATTCTCATATTTTATTTTCAGTTGATGAGACAAGAGTTGTGTTGGAAAATCTTCCAAATGATCCATACTCCGATTATATTAACGCCAATTACGTAAATGTAAGTTTTCTTAATTATGTTTCCTCAAATTCGTAAATTATATTCCTTTGAAAAACTCTCTGTTATTCTAATAAACTTCGATTTTAAGAAAAGTGCACTAGCATTAAATCTACAATGCAATTTTTTTTCTCACAAATTTTACTTTGAAATTACATAGTATGCATAATGTTTTGAGGAAAGGAACTCATTTTAATGAAAAATAAAAAATTATCATGAATTATTTAAATTTATATAAAAATAAATCAATACTAATAAAAAGTATGATGCTACTATGTAAGTATCATAATGCGGTATACTTTCTTTCGACAAGCGAATTTCTCTATTTATAAATTAGATTTTAGAAATACATTTTTTTAAAAAAAAAATTTAATTTCTCAAGAACTATTTTACCAATTTTGCGCACATTTTTTTTGTTACATAAAATTACATTATTTAAAACGATGTAAAAAATTTTATACCTTTCAATTCAAAATTTTCTTTTATTAAACAAACTATTGTGAAATAAAATAATAAAAAATAATAAATAATTACTAAAATTTATATTTTGCATGGAATTGTCTTTGGATAAACGAATTGGCCAATTATTAAAGGGGCCAAACTTTGGACCACTCTCCTTACCAAACTACTTGGACTATATTTCCGATATTGCGGCTATCCCTTATATTTTAGGAAGTCCAAAACTTGAATCTGCGAAAAAAAAATTATATTTACTCAGAGAAAGTAAGCTTTTTGCGTTTGATTTCTTAACTTAAAATATCGTCCTGCACTAATTAATTAACATATTTGAGGTCAACCCTCGAACGATTATGATTTAGCTCTAGAACGTGAAGATCCGATCATTAGATCAAAAGTTATTCAGGATGGTTCGTTTTCTATTTTGCACACTGCATACAACGCCTAAGTAAATAATAATGAAAGTCATTATTTATCGTCTGCTACAAGACATTTAACGAAAAAGGCTAAAAATATTTAAATTTGTAAAAATAATCACCGAATGAAGTATGATATCGTAGTTTTCAGATAAATAAACATTTTTAATGCATCTTTTATTAAAATAAATAAATAAATAAATAAACAAACTGAAAATCGTGAAGTGAAATGAGCTGTTTTTTTAAAAGTGTCATTAGCTTTTGACCACTGGGAAACCATTCATCACAATATTCAATTATTTGTCAATAAATTTATTATATTTTTACATTGCAAGTATAAATGTGCTATTATTTACATTCTTTTCTCTCTAAATAAATTCATATAATTAAAGTTATTTTTATTCTAGGGAGAACACAGTGAAAAGGAATATGTTGCTGCCCAAGGCAAAACACACTTTTATTAAAATAACATTTTACGTAGAATATTAATTCAATGGTTTTGGTTTTCTTTTCTCTCATATGTTACAGTGAATGACCAAAAAGGGTTGTTGTTGACTTTCACCGGTCAATCTTGAATATCACATAGTTACTTTGGTAAATGTCCGAAATATGTACTAGGTCTTGTGCCCCTGACCGGTATACATTTTCCCGGTATGCCCTACATCAATATTTTTATAAGATTCCGTGCCGCTGCCCGGTATACCCTACATTAATGTTTTTTAAAGTTTTAATGTTTTTTAAAGGTCAAGTGCCACTGGCCAGCATGTATATCTTTCCTCAGCAAGTATTAAAATATCGAATAAATATAATAATAAGGAATAAATTAATATCAAATCTGATATAACAAGTATTTCAAACACTCACCAAAGCGGCTGTATGATTGTTGACATTCACTGGTATCGACATTCTCTTAATTTCGGTCATTCATATATATTTTTCATATATAACATTCATCATTCATATATAACATATACAATATATATTTTTTATTGCCTTTTTTTTACTGTAACTTTAAAAATACTCAATAAAATTAAACGAAGCTTTTTGCAATTTAAAATTGATAACCAAATTGATGTTTAAAATTTGAAAAAATTCATTAAAGACTGCGAGTTCATTAAAGACAATATGAGTATTAAAGTACTTTTTTTATACTGTTCATGATCAAAAATTTATGAAACTTTAATTTTCTATTTTTTAAAATAAAAATTTTAAAATTTTTTATTAATATTTTTGTAATGAATCTTATCTGGCTACCAATGAAGAAATATGATTTGAATTGGTTCAATAAATTGAAAATACTTAAAAAAGTTTATTGGTGGTGAAATTTCCATTATAAAAATACTAAAATACTTATTTGCAAAGGCTAAACATCTTAAGCAAAAAGTTCTCATGCAATATTGTTTCATTAAAAATATGTAAAAAAAAAACAAATATTGAAAATAAAAATTTTTTTCCAGGTCCTCTACCAAATACCATTGATGATTTTTGGAGGATGATATGGCAATTGAATTCTACAAAAATTGTTATGTTAACGAATCTCATCGAGGATGGTCTGGTATATAGAGTCAACAAAATTGGAATATTATCAATTTAAATGATCAGCGTTTTACTTTCACTGATAGACTGCAGAAAACAGCGAGAATGTTGCCAGACCCCCAAATTATCTCCAAGGATTAATATAATTACTAATTAGTTTGATTCAAAAAAGAGTAATAAGAAAGCAAAAAACGAAAAAACAATGCAACTGTTTTCCTCATCGAACTTTTCCAATGAAAAAAAAAATGTACTTAAATGTTTTTTTAATGCTTGATGCGTTAAGTAGCTTCAATTCACCAGGTGTACGAAGCTGCATGACAATAATTGAATGCAGTTGGCAGTAGTACTGAATTTTCTGATATAATTTGCAACTGTTATTTACTCTTTCAATTAATTAGTGTCCACCCTTAAAGCAGAGTGTCTGCTTAGAGAAAAGCTTTAGTGTTATCAATGGTAAAGAAGAAATAGAGTTCGACTTATAGTATCACATAAGATAAATATACAGGGTAATCCTTAATTCATGGTACAAATTTTAAGGGTAGGTACAGGACATTGCAACAATCATTTATTGTATAGGAATGTATGAGGTGCCATGGGCGGATCGTGAATTTGTGGGGCCCTGGGCTGAAACTACTTAGGGGCCCTAATAGCCATTTTGTCGAAAAATTGCTTTCTATAGTGATGTAGATAAGTATATAGAAAAAAATAGGGCACTAAAATAATTTTATTTACTTTTTTATTTATTTATTTTTATTTGTGTATACAAACAGCCACTGTACAACATTATTGCAAAAGAAGTTGACAGGTTATGTGTAGTTATGTTATATAAATTATAAAGCAACCTTTCTGCAGTTTTGTGCTGCAAATTTCTTTATTTGCTCATCACATTGTAAGTCCTTCGTTAAATCACAATTTATGGAAAGAACTGATAAGTGATTTAGTCGATGGTTCGACATTGTTGTCCTATATTTGTTTTCTATATATGACATCCTGGAGAAAGAGCACTCCGTTTCACTGCTAGTGATTGGCAAAGT